TGCTGAACGACATCTTCTTATCTAACAGACCCGATTACGCACATTAACAGAAGCTAAAGTCATCAAAGCAGCAAAGAGCTACAAAACCCATCACAAAATCAGTCAAAAGTAATTCACATCTGAGGTTCTACACCAGCAGAGCTGAGCGAGCATCACCCAGGTTGCTGCAGGACATGCTCGCACAGGCATCCATGAAGTGGTGAGGATGTCTGCGTTTTGTTGCAGCATCTGTTACCTCTCCCTGTCAACTTCATGCTCGTGAAGCAAAAGATACTGAAACATGCAAGGGCACCATCATATTTTGAGCTCTTTAACTGACAACGTATCTTTTAAACGGTCGGCTACTTAATCCACTTACTCCTGCATGTCAGGCATGTTTCTTGGTCTGGAAAGACACGTTTAAGGACACTCCTGTGCTCAACACTCAGTGCAGAAGATGTAAAGACTAACACTTTCATGATGCTTAGTGCTTGCACATGACCTTTTTCACCACTCTTCCGCAAAGCTTCTTTCTCTTCAGTGAAGTGTCTTGCTATCTTCAATAAACATTTATGGAAGTTAACTGTAGGCCTTTCAAACCTTCCTACTTGTGCCTCATTCCCCAAAATTAGTCATCCTTGAAAACCGGCCAATAACAAATTAGCAAATATTTGATTAGTGCAGTTCAAAGATCCACTCTTTAAACTGAGATCCACATCTTCAGCTTTGATAAAATTATGTTCTACAAGTCAAACCACACCTATATTCAGCAATATATAGCCTCAGCACTAACTAAAGCTACACACACAGGTTACTGATAATGCTGCTAAAGCTAAACAAAATTGTTATTTTTATTTAACTAAATGCTGTCTTATTGTCATCTGCTCAAGGGAGAGGCCAATGTCAGAGTCTTCAGAGAGGAACTAATTCAAAAGCATTGCCTTAAGTTAAATGTTATCCATTTCTACAACTAGAATTGCAAGAAAATGCAGAAGATTTGTATTAGCACAGCCAAAAGTTGAAGTGACCTTTTCCCCTTCCACCCTCCAGAAGAGTTAAATGGATGCAAGATGTTGCATCTTTAGAAAAGCATATCTCAGTCAGAAAATATTTTTCAAGGTACCCAAAGGAAAAATTATAGAGAATATTCCAGTATCTGCTACTCTTACACGGATACTTGGGTTCACTGTACAGCAGTTGTTTCTTTGTAGCTAGGAAAAGTGGTACAATAAGGAAAAAACACACTTACTGTAGGCTGAGGCGGTCCTTTGCCACTGCTGCGACCTCTGAAATTAAACACATACATGGGATACGGTTAAAAGAACTGCTGAAACTTGTTCATTTCTTAACAAGTAAGAATTCAAAACCCTATCTTAATTTAGTGTTGAGAAAGGGATCAGGGAAAAACAGCACTCCCCTAATGCAGAACTTGACAACTACAGGGCCCAGAGCATCTATCCTCCAAACTACCAACCTACAGGCAAGCAGTGCTGGTTAGGAGTACAGTAAATTAGAGGACAAAATGAAGAAAACACTCAGTCTATATCTTTATCAAACTGCAGAATTCTGTACCTAAAGCAAATTCTAAAACTTACTGGCACACACAACCAAAACCCACTTTTGGTGCCATCCCTACTTAGCAGAGCCCCTTCGCTAAGCCATGGTGCTCAGGACATCGTTGCTGTCTCTCTAATTAAGGTCCCCAAACGCCTGACCCCTGCTGCAAGGTAGAGGAGTCCAGAGCGCAAGGCCCTGCCTCAGAGCTGCTCTTCACTTCCACCACAACCCAGCGACTGCAACTCATTAACTACCCATCCCCTCAAAAACACTGACTGCTTTTAATGCTAATCTGTCAATGTGTAGCACTTGTGACACTTCAGAAAGCTTTTAAATTAAGAGCTCTTAATATCTTACAAACCGGGATGTAACAATCTGTGTCCTCCACCTCGCACTTTGAGTGCCCACAGCATCCCTGCAGCTGGCTACAGCTCTTCAACTTCACTCATGTGCCTTATTTCAAAGTTACTCCCTTCTGCCAAGAACTTCTAGTTTTAAATATTTGTCATAGTAATTTAGGTTTGTATTGCCACGACTTTAGGAGTGCACACTGTAATGTGAAGCAAAATTAAGTCTTCTGTTCTATTTTTTAAAATGTAACAATTGATTCAACTGATCCACCTTACAGCTGCACGACCATTTAATTACAGACCCAAAGAATCATGTCTACATTTCAAAATACCCAAACATTGAAATCTAAATCCAACCGAATGTCAACTACATTCAACTGCTTTTGAAAACACTACGCTGTGGTTGAATACAACCTTGTTCTCAAAACATGCCCTTATGAATCGAGCTCATGAGTTCGTCAAGAAATCAAAGGAATTTTTCCCAAATAACATAAATATCCCTCCAATAAATCCTGCAGAAATAAGCAAGTCCATCAGAGAACTATGAAAGGCCTTAATGGGGAAAACTGAAAAATCACTAAACTATCACCTGACCCATTTTAAGAAAATGAGTGTCTGAAACAGAAACATCACGCAGACCAACATTTGCTGACTGGCAATAACTGCAGATTTCGGATGTCTGGCTGACATTTTCAGAGCTTGCAGAATCCTCATATCACAAAAAAAACCCCCAAAACCACTAATGCAAATAGCCTTTATTTCATTACCTATCAGCCTTAGCTTTCCCTAAGGCAACATCACAACTTCAGGCTTGCTCTGGAGACAAGCAAGTCTCATCACTTAAATCTGCCATTTGTCCGATACCCATAGCACGGTGCTGACGTGATCCCTTCGTCAACCTGCAACTTAAATTTTGCATCATATTCAGATGAACGAGCCTCTTCTTTCTGAAAATCATCTCCCCGGATGTGAAAAACCCAATTTACAAGTACAGACCAGTTCTGATTTTGCCTTTTATTACAAAAGCACCAATGGCACCATCTTTCAAAGAACATGGCCAGAGTCAAACAATTACACCAGTTCCCTCTGTCGGTCTAAAAGGTTTCAGAAGATAAAGCTCCTTCCTACATCAGCTACAGCAATGGCCAAAAGAGAAAGAGTTTGGTGTCTTTGAAACAGAAAGCACTCCCATTTTTAGTGACAAGTATTCTTAGAACTTAAATAACTGGGGTGCCAGACTGGTCAGAAAGTTTGGAGTATTCCCTTTAAGCATCATCCCAAGCGTTCTGGATTTTCCATCTCTTGCCACATTTCCAAAATGACCCACACTTCTTTAAGAAACAATCTGATTGTGTGCATCCATGTTGGCAAGAGGTCCTAACTTCTACACTGTACCAGACCATAACTGTTCTGATTTAACAGATCTCTTTACACACCTGACCTCTTGTTTTCCAGCTACAACTGTTAAAAGACATTGGAAAAAAGACATTCACCAAGATGAAAAAAGAAGACAGATATTCAACAATTCTGCCACTGCTACGGTTCAATCAAATCTGTGTGCATCTTCTGCTAAAGCCAAGGCCACCAACTTGAGGTTTGTATTCCAACAGGTGAAGACTCAAGTTCAAACCACTCTTTGACACATCTTTGATGCCTCAAATGGAAAAAAAGCTCTGATCTTTACGAAAGCAGAAAGTAGATGGTCTTGGCCAGAAGTTTACCACAACTTAAACAGGAGAGAAACGCTAAGAAATGGGGCTGGGGGAAACTAGAAGGGGCAGTAGCAATTTGGCACTGCTACCTAAAACCGCATCTTGATTACAGTAAGTATGGTAAATCAATAACAAAATACATTTTGCACTGCAGAAACGTGGTTAAAGGTAAGCCTGGGAGAAGGCACAGCAGCTTAGCAAATCCTCCTTGTAAACCATTTGCTTTGGGGTAGCAAAGTCAAAGTCAGAGAAATGCTGCACCAAAGTAACAAGCAAGCAATTAAACTTAGTAGCCAGCTGATTGCAGCCCAACAGTTACACCACGAGAGTGAAAGTCTCCATAAGTGCTGCACAATAAACACTTCTTCCCAGCAGCAACTCGCAATTTTTTTTCTATTTTCATGAGCATTTACTATGCTATTCCTTAGCATCCCTCACCTCCCACCCCAGTGTTTACATGCCAAGTGGAGCCTTTGTATAAGCAAAACAAGGTCACGCATTTCTATTTTTCCAGTTAAAGGGACACAAATCTTTCCAGGATGTGAAAGGAAGTCTCAGGTTTTCTCTCCAGCAGCATCTGCACTTTGAGACTAAGAAACACAACCACACTGCAATTAATGTCTGGAGCAGAAGTGCAACTACAAAGAGCATTGGATTTAACTGTGTGAAGAGATGTTTCTGGAGCACTGGCTGACACTACTACAGCTTTGAAAACAATTTACAGGATACTCTGAAGAACTTTCAAGTGCAGAGGACTGGTAAAGCTTTCTTCAAAGGGACAAATCAGAAGTACAAAATCTTCTTTAAGTGCAGTATTTGTCTATATAAGCCAAATGAATCGAAGCTGTCAAATAAAGATGATACAAGAAGCGTAGCACTGCTATTTGTAGTTTTCCCCCAACAGTGACTTTAATAATGTCAACTCCTGCCTTCTCACAAGATGACAACTTGTAGAGTCCAAATATAAAATCTGGCTGAAGTATGGCCCAGTGCACATCTGTAATCTGTTCATGGACTAAGCCACTGAAGAACCTTCTCCTTATGCACTGCCAGGAATCAGTTCTTAAATTAAAACTCAAAAATGGGTATGTAATATCATACTAAAGTGCATTAACAGCAATAAGGAAAGAGACCTGCAGGTTATCCATTCATTCTGCTCAGCAGTTTAGCAGGGTTGCATTAAAACCGACGCACACAAAGATGTTGGAACAAACCAGAAAACCTCTGAATGGCACCAAACCTCCAGAACAGCCACGTCCATCACATCAGAGCGCCTCAGTGCTCCACACTGCCCATTACTTCTGTCTGAACAGAACGGATGCTGCTCTTCTGCCCTTCACTTAAGCCTTTAGTTAGGCTAATAAAAACAGGATGGCAAGGAAAAAGGAAAATAAGAGTAGGCAAGAAGAGTTAAGTCTCAAAAGCAAGCTATGCAATATGGGATCATTTTAATTTCAACTTTTTAATGGGCAAAGCCACTTAGAAAATACAGTAACTTGCAGTACTCTTCAAGGACTCCCAAGTCCAGTTAGGCAAGAAAGTTACCAAATACAAAAAGCTTCTGCCACAATTGTAACTAGGCACAAAACCCCCAAAACCTGAGTCTGAGGTGCTTTGCCTTCAGACGAAATAACAATGAGGGAAAACTGGTACCAAAAAAGGATGTGGTGCCTGAAGAAACACTGGGACAGATGCAACTTTTAATCACAGGACAACCAACCTTCCTTGTGCATGGATGAGGGCAAAACTGAACCAAACCACAAAAAGCACACATCAGATAATGTTTTGACTAGCACAGGGGGCAGGTTTGTGTACGAGGTCTGTGTATGTTCCAATTACAGTTCAACGTGCTATTGGCATCCCCCCTACAGCCCAATTTCCCATCTGCCATACTGCACATGCAGTTGCTATTAAACACAGCACCTTTTTACAGAGGCACTAAATGAAAAGGTATTAATCCTTCTTGTTTGTTTTTCATGAACACCCTTAAAGATACCGTCATCTGTGATTTTTCCCCTTATGTAAAATAAATTAAATAATAATTAAAACAAATTCTGGAATGCCTTATGTGTCCACACAAGATTTTGCCTTTTCTAATAGGAAATACATATATCCATCATTCTGAAACCATGGAAACATGCAGGGAGCAAAGCTGATCCCCCACTCACTGTCAAGACATAGAAGGACCAGGAGCTCAGCCCAATTAAGTCTTACAGTAATAAACACAGAGCAGAAAATCAGGTCCAGGACAGTTACCTATCAATGAGCTTTCTACCCAAAACTTAGCCTCTAAGAGCAACTTAGCCATGAAAAGTAACATTCTCTGGCATCTCAAGAAGAAAGAGAATGCTACTGCTGCAGGGAAACGAGCTACAAAACTGTTGAAAGCCTGGCATAAATTGGAGATGTTTAAGTTTCTATTAGATAATAT